TACTAAATTATTAAAATTGATTAAGTTTTGAATAAGATATTTAAGTTTAAAGTTCAAGAAAAATTTTAATAAAAACAATTTGCCTGGATTTTGTTGACTTCTTCTCATATGTAGTCTAACTTGTGATCATAGAAACATCTTTCAGACTATATCCATTCAAAGTATCTGATGCTTTCAAAACCCTTTGGACTAATTTATTGTTAACAAAAAACTTACTAGAACCTTTTATGTTCTATACACAGCTGATCTAGTTTTATGCAACATGCTATAATTACCTAATACTTGGAGTCTCAGAGATTATCTATTTAACTACTATATTACACTATTTCTAGCTTTGTAAAGTTCACTAAAACCCTAGTACCTATTATCATAATATCTTCTTTATTATTTCTTACTAACTGCTACTTAAAACTGACAAAACTCCTCTAACTTTCAATTCAGATAGCCTAGTATAGTATATATATGTATTCTTTTCTTTTGATGATTCTGGCAACCTAGTTGGTTATATGCTCCTTTATATATTTTGTCATTTGGTTTATTTATCTATTTCTTTGAGAATGTTTTATGAGTTCTATCAGTCTGATTATACTATTAAAAGTTTATGCTACCTCTTTATCAAGAATTTCCAAGTAGGCTTTTGACTTTTTAGTTTCTTAGTTTATTGTGCCTAGTGGTCTTATTGTGAGTTTGCACTAAAGTCTTATGTGATACTGGTTATTAATATTCCTCTCTATATATATAATATTACACTTTATATAGATGCTCTAAGCTTTCATTTAAAATAGTGTGATATAAGGTTACAAATACACCAATCCAACTAATCATCAAGAGACAGTTTGCTGTAATACAAGTTAATTTTCAAATTTCATCATAAGTGGAATTTGAATTTTAGATCTGCCACTTGGAGAATGACAATTCAACCACTACACTAGGATTATTATTTTCTATTTTTGTAATTATAAAGCTTTACAGCTGCTATAGTAATACAAAAATTTTGTTATTGTATTAATTAAGCACATGGCTGCAGTAGCAATACAAGAACTTTGGTAATTAGGCCTTACAGTTGCAGTAGTAGTATAACCTTGACAGTTAGGCTTTACAAATATGATAGCAGTGCAAAAATCTTGTTTTAGACTTCATAGCTATTATAATAATATATAAGGTGGATATAGGTAATTCGGTAAAACAGGTAATTTGGTAGATCTTACTAAATTAGTGATATATTGTGATCCAATTATCAGAATTTGATAATTGTTATACCATTCAATTTGTCTCAACAAAATGAGTTGAATAGTATAAAATTTGACAGTTTTGATTGCTGGATCATGATGTGCAGATATGGTTAGTGTGTTTTGCATAGTATTCTATATAAGTTAGTTAATATTAATAAATATTGCAATTGTTAATATGTGAAAATCTTGTGTATAAATATTATAACTAAGTTAATTTAATTTTATTTTACACTTTTGATTTACTAATCTTGTACTACTTTATACTTAATCAATCTCATATGCTATCAATTTACTTTACACTTAAATGATCTTGTTTACTATCTATTTACTTTACATTTAAATAATCTTTGTACTATCAATTTACTTTACATATTTAATTTTATCTTATGCAGTGCACAAAATTTCAGCATGTTATAACCTGCTTTTTTTTTAGTAAATAAAATTTAGAAACTCCTGCAATATATTTTATATTGGAAAATTTCCAGAACTATGCTGTAAGTCAACTTAATTAAATAAAATCTCTAGCATTTTACAATAGAATTTTGTACACTAATTTTGTGCAATAAATTCTTGTAATGATCTTTTTTTTTTTGCATTTTTTGTATTCTATTGCACAATTGAATTTATATTTTAATGATCTTATGCACACTTGTATGCAATAATCTTTTTTTTTTTATGTTTTGTTTTTTTGGTATTGTATTGTGCAATTGAATTTATATTTTAATAATCTGTAATGATCTTTTTTTTATTTGTTTTGCTTTTTTTGTATTCTATTGCATAAATGAATTTAATTTCATGCACAAATTAATTTATTTTAAATTTTAAATAATCTAATGCATGATTAATATACTCTATATAATAGGAAGTTTCATAATTAACAAATAGATAATGCATTTTAAAAAAAAAATAGGATTTTTTAAATAGTATTTTTACTATGCAGAATTGTAAATCATAAAAATAAAATAAGATTTTCCTTAATAAATTAATAATTTAAGTACTTCTTTCAAATTTGTTTATTTTATTTATAAACATCATGATTATATTAATTTTCTTACAGTGTTTGTTATAAACATGTGTAGTAATACAAACAATTATAATTTTATAATAAAAACTAGGTTTCTGTACTTTTTATATCATTATAACTAAGCTATAAAAATTCACTTGTATCAGTTAGCATGTGCAAATTGATATGAAATATTATTTTACTAGTTGTAATATCAAAACAAATAAATATCTATGCGAGTATATCTATTACTAGATGCTATACCACTATAAAAACTTGATCTGTATCTTGAATATTAATAATAATAAAAATGTCAAACAAAACAAAATTAAAAAAACTGATCAAATCTTACATCAAAATACCATTAATGCTACATTTCGTGCACTTAACAATTTCGAAAACCCTAATATTTGTGAAACTGCTCACAGCTTTGGGGTTTCAGAGACAACTCTTAGCCATGCAATAAAAAATAATGGCTCACTTAAATGTCCTAGTCACACAACTGTCTTAAGCAAACATGAAGAAACACAATTAGTAGGCTATTGCAAAAACATGCAACAATTGGGATTTGGCTTAACAAAATTGGGAATTAATTACTATGTAATAGAAATTGTTTGCAGTAATAATTGTAACCATCTATTTGCTAAGAAAGGGCCTGAACAGGCCTAGATAGGCCTGGTAGGAATGCTTTATAAAAGATCATCCTGATCTATCATTTTGTGTTCCCCAAGCCTTGACTGAAGCATATGCATAAAGAGCCAATACGACCATTGTAAAAGACCACTTTGACAAGCTTGGTCAAGTAATTTAAGAGCATTCTCTTACTGCTGATCATATATGGAATATGGACAAAACAGACTTTTCCCTCTCTTCTAAGGTTCAAAAGATCCTTGCTGCAAAAAGTGCACATCAAGTCCACAAGGTCTCGCATAGCAATGTGTATGACCACATTTTTGCTATCTTAATGATCTCTCAGCAGCTGAAAATTACATTGCTCTCTTAATTATCTACAAAGAAGTTTATGCTATTTCAGGTCTATTGAATAGAGCTTCAGCTAACACTGTTATGAGTTTTACTGATACAAGATATATGTAAGAGAACCTTTTTTAAATATATTTGGAACATTTTATCAACTCTATTTCACTTGTTCGTCCAGTTCTTCTAATGCTTGACAATCACAAAAGCCATATAAATTACATAAGTGTTAGTTTTTGTTATAAAAATAGAATCTTACTATATGCACTTCCACTTCATACTATGCATATTCTTCAACCATCTGAAATTCTTTTTGCCAAACTTAAAAAGAAGTATAGTAAAGATTGTAATATGCTTTATAGCAATAACAATGAGCTAGTGACCAAGTATTCTTTTGCTAAAATTTTTGGACCAGCTTTTATTATAACCTACACTTTCATGGCAATAATTAACTTCTTTAAAGCTACAGAAATTTGGTTCTTCAATCCTAATGCTATCAGTAATGACTGTCTTGATCCTTCACTTGTTACTGAACGATTTAACTTATCTTCTTCTCTACCCCTATGTCAGCAACTTGATTAGCCTTACAAACAAGTGTTTTCTTCTTTGCCAAATAAAATTTCAGCTTTAGTAGAACTTCAACTAACCTCTAACTACTCTACTCGATCCAATGTTATTAAAGAGTTGAAACTGCTGAAGATTAAAAATGAGACCTTTAGAAGAGAAAATCTACAACTAAAAAAACAGAATGCCTCAATTAAAGAAAACTTTTTATTAGTACAAGAGGAGCTAGAAATCTTTAAAAATCCTGGTACTTTTTCTTTAAAACTAGTACTTAAGTATTCAGTTTCTAAAACTAAGGAACAGGAGGTTAGGAAATCATCAAAAAAAAGAAAAACTTTGCTGTTTGCACAGCTTCTTACTAATGACAAATCTTGGCAAGAAATAAAGAAGATA